CATATTTTAACATTATATATATGGAGATACGTAACTGAAGCCACATTTTAACATTATATATATGGAGATACGTAACTGAAGCCACATTTTAACATTATATATATGGAGATACGTAACTGAAGCCACATTTTAACATTATATATATGGAGATACGTAACTGAAGCCATTGTTTCTTACCTGTGAATGATATTTTACTTAAGTAAATACAATGTTGTCATTGCTGAAAAACAAAACATTTTTATTATCCTTCAATCTTGTTTGGTTACAGAGCCATCAAATAGAAAATCACACCCTTCTCAAGAAAACAATTCCTTTAAGGAGACAAGAGCTCAATAACGAATCAGCTTAAAGCAGGGTCGTACTTTATAGGTAATTTTATGCAATACTATATAAGGTGTATCTGTCCAAAATTTTGGACTGATTGACTAGAAAAGGCAGCTAGTCAACAGCACCCACTACCAAATACTGGGATTTGACCACCACCCTTATAGAACACCCACACCCACAGAGAGTTGAGCACGTTTCTGCAGCAGTGGGATAATGTCAAATTCCCAGTCTGGGCATGATAAATACCAGGCCACGTTCAAATTTCAAAAGAACCTAATTATCCATTGTAGTATACTATGTAACAAACTGTCTCACATTTACATGTCGCAGCAAACAAACTAAACCCTAATCACAACAACTTGTACATCATTTTGATATTTTTTCCACCCCGATTTATTTGAAAAACACGACAACAAAATACTGTTGTACAATTGCTTAAAGAAACAGCATTTCAAGGAAATATGAAAACTTAAAAAACTTAAATGAATTAGTAATGTTCCACTATGAGCTTAAAACAAACTAAAGCTTCAGGCACAGTGTATCAGAGAAGCCATGATTCTGTTTAAATGTCAAAAACACATCTGTTTTTACACATCTTTAACTTCAAAGAAGCCAAGATCCTGTTTAAACCTCAAAAACACATCTGTTTTTATACATCTTTAACTTCAAAGAAGCCAAGATCCTGTTTAAACCTCAAAAACACATCTTTAACTTCAAAGAAGCGAAGATCCTGTTTAAATGTCAAAAACACATCTGTTTTTATACATCTTTAACTTCAAAGAAGCCAAGATCCTGTTTAAATGTCAAAAACAAGCCTGTTTTTACACATCTTTAACTTCAAAGAAGCGAAGATCCTGTTTAAACCTCAAAAACACATCTGTTTTTATACATCTTTAACTTCAAAGAAGCCAAGATCTCATGACAATGAAATAGTGGAATGTGATAATTCTAGATAACACATGTTTTTCACAACCTAACATACACTTAAAAGTCCAAGTAATTGAATAACAACATTTACTAACAGCTTATTTCTCTATCAACAGTAATACCTTTCCATGGTGGTCCTGGCACCATCTATTCATCCCATCTAAAATACCATCAGGCTGATGGACAATCAGATTTGGACCCTATAAATACATGAAATATAAATTAGCCAAACTATATGTACAGTACTGATGACAAAATCTTTAAACAAATAAGGCTATAGTTTTCTCTCGTAACAAAAACAAAATGACCAAAACATTTCTGGCAAATGTAGCTTAACTCTTGCTTTAATACGAGACAAATTCAATATAATGTGATAAGAATGTTCAGGAGAAACTAATCAGACTGAGTAAGGATTGTGTCATATCGGGATATGTAACATTAACACATAATCCACACTCATTTCTTTAAACTAATGAATTTATAACATAACAAACTATAGACAGCCTTGCAATCCACTCTAGGGAAAGTAATAATTCAAACCCACCACTTAATTCTCAGGAAACAACTGTTTTCCCTCTTAAAATCCTATAAATTGTTGGCCCTCACTGCTACCGATCACCTTTTTTAGAAAATGGTTTTAATTAGAACCTACCCATTATTTTCCAAATCTACCTCCTCTCATTATATTATCTTCAGAATATGGCACACAAAATTAGAGATATTTAACCTGTCAATCTCCCAGATAATCTTGTAAACTCAAATAATACATTGAGAGATCTTAACCCTTCCATCCCTGGAATTATCTTAGTAACATTCCTCTGAACCCTTTCCCGTGATAGATGAGAAGATGATAACTGTACTCAGCATTCCAAGTGAGGCCTAACAAGTGATTTGTACATTATGGATATTCACACTTTACTATTCCAAGTGAGGCCTAACAAGTGATTTGTACATTATGGATATTCACACTTTACTATTCCAAGTGAGGCCTAACAAGTGATTTGTACATTATGGATATTCACACTTTACTATTCCAAGTGAGGCCTAACAAGTGATTTGTACATTATGGATATTCACACTTTACTTGTAATCAATATGTCTATACATGCACTTTAAAATTCTATTGGCTTCAATACTAGCTAGAGTATCATCAATGTAATTGATAACTTATTCATCGTTATGCCAAAATCCTATTCTTCGGTTATGCTGCTAAGTGCTTAACCATCTACATTAAAACACATGATCCAAATTATGATAAGTCAAAAGCATTACCCTGTACTTACTATAATAAAGTTTATTTACCAAACAGTTATCCAACTTACCAATTGATCTAACTCATTATATAACAACTCAATATTATTTATACAGTTAGAAATAACCCAGGAGTTTAGGGGCATCAACAAACTTACTAATTATGCTCCTATCTGTATCATTAATGTAAAAAAAAGACAGAGCATGGATACTTGAGGTACTCCATTAGTAACAAGAGTCCAGTTTGACTGGACCTCCATTAACCTTCTTGATAAGATTAGGTCAAAATGTACATGTCAAAATATTTTTAAGAGAATTACATTCAAAATTTCATAAAACTGCTTTGTTTCCAACTTATGTCAATAAACTTGGAAACAAAATATAGTTTTCATTCAAATTTTAATATTATATAATTCTTAATGTCTTAATTTCAAAAGGAAATATTTAAATAAATTCTCAGTCGTCACTTTCATGTACCATTTGATATTTCTTTGTTCTAAACTGCCCATTTTTAGAATTACTTACTACAAATGTGTTATACAAGTTCCAAGGATAGAATTACTTACTACAAATGTGTTATTTCTATCCTTGGAACCTATTTACTTACTACAAATGTGTTATACAAGTTCACCTTGCACTGTGACCTGTTCGAGTCAGATTGCTGTTATCAAAGACATCTTAAGCACGACTTGTACACCTTACTTAAAGGCTTGCCACAAAGTACACGTGGTAAATTTGCAATCGTCAAAATTTCTTCTTCAATATAGAAATGGTCCAATGGACGACCCCCCCCCCCCACAAATAAAGTTAAGTGGAACCCTAGTCAATCATATTTATTACTCAAAATATGATGGGAAAATAATTTTATCTCTGCCATGTTTTCTCCATTTTGTTAACACTTTGAATTAACTTAGAAAACGTACATTTTCTTTATGACAGTCACAACAAATTTCCAACAAGAGTAGCATCCTTGCGAGTAAAACGTTAATTAATGAGATGCACCACTAGTAAGAAGAGTATGGATCACTTTAACACACAGATAGATGGCTAATAAGCAATTAAGGCAGATCATCCAAACATGCTTATCAAGCCTATATCATACGCAGAATTAATAAAACAGATTTTAGAATTACAAAATTTTTCACATGCCTATCTTTTCAATATCCTATAAACATTCAATTCAAATTTAGCTGTCAATCATCACATCAAACACAAGATCTTGTGTGATGTCATTCAAATGCTCGGTACATGACTGTGAAGATCTGTAGAATCAAGCGTACAGGACGAGTGACTCAAGACTACAACAACCATAATGTTTTCAAGTGTAATCTATCATAAGATATAATGTTTGGTACTGAAATATAGTACAAACTAGGGAGACACTCAGTAGAAAACATATTTCTGTGTCTGATTCTTCATCTTTATAACATTTCATCATCAACACTAGATGGTTCTCTTTATTTACTTGCTAAGGACTGATTTTAAACTTCTTAAGTCTGTGTCTGATTCTTCATCTTTATAACATTTCATCATCAACACTAGATGGTTCTCTTTATTTACTTGCTAAGGACTGATTTTAAACTTCTTAAGTCTGTGTCTGATTCTTCATCTTTATAACATTTCATCATCAACACTACATGATTCTCTTTATTTACTTGCTAAGGACTGATTTTAAACTTCTTAAGTCTGTGTCTGATTCTTCATCTTTATAACATTTCATCATCAACACTAGATGATTCTCTTTATTTACTTACTAAGGATTGATTTTAAACTTCTTAAGTTTGTGCCTGATCTTTAATGTTCTTTAACATTTTATAAACTATCCAGATGATTATTCATCTTAACGAATTTTATTTCATCATTTAAATTGTTTCAATTTCATTTATTTAGACAAACATGTGTGTACACTAAAACCCCACAAAAATATATTTTACTTAAATAAAAAGAATCTTTCGTCTTTTTATAAAACAAGTGTAAAAGTTAGTTTCACAATGACTCACCTCAGCAATCAAATCCAGTTTGTCGTCCGTAATGAGACATGCTATTTCCAAAATATGACAAGTTTCAATGTCCAGGCCGGTCATCTTAAAATATTTAAATTATGGAAGTGTAAAAAAAAGGTTTACATGAAAAAGCCTAAAGCTAGCTAGTAAAAAGTGTGTAAATAAATACATAAAATTAACATATTCTCTATACTTAGTAAACCTACAATAAAATATTCTCTATACTCAGTAAACCTACAATAAAGTATTCTCTACACTTAGTAAAATACTCAGTAAACCTACAATAAAAAAGAGAATATTTTATTGTAGGTTTACTGAGTATAGAGAATACTTTATTGTAGGTTTACTGAGTATAGAGAATACTTTATTGTAGGTTTACTGAGTATAGAGAATACTTTATTGTAGGTTTACTGAGTATAGAGAATACTTTATTGTAGGTTTACTGAGTATAGAGAATACTTTATTGTAG